CTCCACGCCGCACGGTCATAACCGGGCAAACGATCGGTGATTTGCCCTTCGCATACCGAGGCTGGGACCAGGCATGTCGTCGCATTGCAATTGTTCCGTGGATATCGTGACTTGCGTCTGATGATTGTCAGCAAGGAAGCCAGCAGGGTGCCTTAAATAGAACAAGGGAGAACCCAAGAAGATGCATGTTGGTTCCCCCCGGCAGAATGAGCAAAGTACTCCGTTCCCGTTCACGACAATGGTGTAGCGGTTTCAGATTTTTTTTTTATTCCCCGAGACAATCTGCTACGCAATTTTAGTGTAATTAAATACCAGGGGGAAGGAAATAAACTTCGTCATGGTCTCCCATGGCCTTGATCCAACCATGTGCTAATCCGTGGAGTATTCGATTTCGAATATGCCGACTTTGAGGCTTCTCTCTCTCTGTCTCTCTCTCTTTTTTCTTGCCTCGTAATGCATCATCTTCTTTTTTTTTTGTCTCGCGCTTTCATGTTTCGTGTACAACTCACCTCCGTGATTTGCACAAGCGGCGCCATGGGCCAGGGCGGAAAAACAGCAATGCAACGGGATTTATATACGTCTGGACGCATAACGCCACGGATAAACAAGAGCAGCATAACAGCCCATGCGAAAGAATCGTACAAAAGCATGTCAGGGAGAGGGAATCCACATGCTTGATACATGCGAGATGGCTCTCATCCCCCCTGTGAAAGTAGGAGCTAGAGTACCATATAATGCATTCCTTGTATTAGAAGATATATATACAAAAAAAAAAGTTGGCCGTTTCTTTTATTATAGTTTTCGTTTCTATAGAACCAAGGAATCCCCACTTTGGTCAAGGCCGCATGGGCGCCGACGGCCGAGCTACGAATGGAGTGAAGGCACGCAGATATATAATGTAACGTATGTGATTGCATGTGCATACATACGTAAAAGGTGTGTGATTCTTGAGGATGCGTACACTGCCACATCTCTCGGCCCTCCATTACATGAGTTTATTATTATTATTATTCTTATTCTCATTATTTGTTTTTGGCAATACAAATGTGCCTTTGCGCCGCTCCTTCGTAGCCAGCCTCACCATTCGCACCTCAGTCCCAGCCCGAACATGAATCACGGATGAGCACTTAGCCTCGGCATAATGAAGCTAGGTGGGCTGGACTCATTGGAACTTCCGTGACCAGGTGACGCATTGTATCGCACATGGCAAATGGGACAACTCCCGCACAACTAGCATCGTGAGTCATGGGTAATGGCGCATGTTATATTTCTTTCTTTTTTGTTCCTTTTTTTTTAAAAAAGAAAAAAAAAAGCCCAAGGGCCTCATACACGCGAAATGGCTCGAAAGGGGGGACTTGTATCCGCTGTGTGAAAACACGGTGGACGACAAGAGGCGTGCGAAGAAGAAGAAGAAGAACGAGTAATTGCATGATAAACACGGGGCTGAAGCAAAAGAAAGAAAGAGTAATAGGAAAAAAGAAGGGAAAAAAAGGGGGGGGGAAACCCAGACGCCTCTTCCTCCTTTCCCAACTTCCTTTCCACACATCCATTGACGCCAACGCCAACGCCAACGCCATGCCGGCGCCAATGCCGGTGCCGATACCGATTCTCCCGCCTTCCGGCCTCCCCCATCCCCCGGTCCGAGACCGGCATTTCATCATTTGGATCCCGACATGGCTGATACCTCATAAACTGCCACGCGAGTCCATCCCCACAGCCCGTTGAAAAAGAGTAGGCTCCTTCTGTCGTTCATAGTAACTGGGAAGCCACTCTGAGTCTCTATAAAAAAAAAAAAAAAAATAAAAAAAAAAGATAGAGTTTGTAGTCTGAAACGAGTGCTCTAGCCTCAGCATCCCAAATCAGGGGTCCAGCAGCCGCATCAAGATTCCCCCATTCTCTTCTTCGTTTGGGTATTTTCTTCCTTTCCCTTCTCGGACTAGACTTGCCTGGCCCCCTTGGTCCCCTCGGTCCCTTGCCGCTTAGCATAGGAATCCGCCGTTCATGCTATGCTCCGTTTCAACTAGTCTGCCCCAGAATGCGCCCCTCTTCCCTCGGAAGCAGATGGGTTGAAAAGCTAGTGTTCTTAGAGCTGGGGGGGAAGAAACGGAAAAAGAAGCAGTTTATAGATATGGGTATCATCCCCCCCCCCCTTTTCGTTCCTTGTCACACCTCACCAGTGCCGTGATCCTGAGCCGTGAACCGGGATCCGGTGTCAAACCGGTGCCGTCCTCGTCCGCTGTGCTGCATAGGATTCTGCGGGCTTTTTTCATTCATTCATTCATTCATTCACTCATTTCATTCCTTCTTTTCCTCCTTCTCTTCTTTCCTTCCTTCCTTCTTTCTTCCCTTTTTATTTATATTTTTTTCTTATTTAATTCACAAGACACAAACACTTCACTGGTCGTGTACAGACCAACCAAGCCAGTAACAAGCAAAAGTAAAAGAGAAAACGAAAAAAAAAATGACACAGGATCTGGAACAGGATCCGGAAAAGGCTTCGCCATCGCAGGCCGACTCCAAGCCTCATGTCGTCTCCTCGTTTTCGTCACTCTCTCTTGCCTCGTCCTCGCCGTCGTTGTCATCCTCTGCCTCATCCATCACCGAAACAGACACATGCGCATACACAGACACAGAAACAGACACAGACACCAGCAACAAGCCACCGAAACTCGAGCCCGTCGGAACAAATCCTTCTCGCTGCAGTCAAAGTTACAGCATCGCATCGCGACAGCCCGATTTCGAGGTGGACTTTTCGGGAAACGACCCCGAGAACCCCTTGAACTGGCCGCTATGGTACCGCTGCTGGTCCATCTTCTGCGTCTCCTTTGCGACGTGGGTCGCCACACTGTACAGCACGAGCTACACCTCGTCGGCGCCTGGTCTCATGGAGGAGTTTCGAGCGTCGAGGACGCTCGTCACCCTGGGAATGACGACGTATCTCCTCGGTCTGGCCGCGGGGACGTTGGTTGTCGCGCCGCTGAGCGAGCTGTACGGTCGTCGGCAGATCTATCTCATGTGTCTGAGCCTGTGGGCAGTCCTCATTGTGCCTTGCGGGCTGGCGCAGTCCCTGACGACGATCATAGTTGTCCGATTCATTGGGTTCGTATACATTTTTGCGTCATCCCTTTGTCTTTTTGTGCCTCTTTCTTTCTCACCCTGTCTGCCTTGCGCTAAATCGTTTCTTCCCAACCCCCTCATTGCAGCGCATTCTTCGGCTCCGTCATGCTCTCCAACGCCCCCGGCACCGTCGTCGACGTCTCCAACCCAGACTACCTCGCCAGGAGCATGTCCTTCTTCGGCGTGGCCCCTCTCAACGGCCCCGTCACAGGCCCCATCATCGGCGGCTTCATCTTCGAACACCTTGGCTGGCGGTGGTCCAACTGGATCGTGCTCATGATGGCCGGCGTGGCCATGGTCCTCATGTTCACCGTCCGGGAGACGTATGCGCCCAAGATTCTGCGATGCAAGGCCGCGCGCATGCGCAAGGAGATGGACGATACCAGGTACTGGTGTCGCTATGACCACAAGGTGTCTACCGTGCGCTTGCTCAAGACGAATCTCAGTCGGCCGTTTATCCTCTTTGCTACTGAGCCTATTTTGTGGTTTATGAATTTTTGGTAAGACCATCTTTGGCCCTCTTCACACAGCGCTTTCCGTCTCTCTCTTTTTTTGTGTTTGAATCAAAGCGGAGGGGGAGGGGATCATTTGCTAACCATCTCAAAACCTCTAGGGTCTCCGTCGTCTATGGAATCCTCTACCTCTGCTTCGTAGCATACCCCGTCGTCTTTTCCCAACACCGAGGCTGGGGCCCCGGCACCACCGGCCTCGCCTTCGCCGGCATCGGCGTCGGCAGCGTCGCGAGCATCTTGGCCGAGCCGCTCTTCCGGCGCATCATCTACACGCAAGCCAAGGACCCCGACACGGGCAAGCCGTATCCCGAGGCGCAGGCGTCCATCATGGCCATGGGCGCCGTCGCCACCGCCGTCGGACAGCTGGGCTTCTCGTGGACCTGTCTCCCGCAGTCGATCCACTGGGCCATTCCCATCGCCTTTGGCGTCCCCTTTGGCTTTGGCAACACCATCAGCTTCATCTACAGCTCCAACTATCTCGCCGGCGCGTATGGCATCTACGCCGCCAGCGCCCTGGCCGGCAACGCCGTCATCCGGAGCATATTTGGCGGCACGCTGCCGCTCGCCGGACCCAAGTTGTATGCGTTGCTGACACCGCAGCGGGCGGGTATGTTGCTTGGGCTGCTCGAGGTGGCCATTATTCCGATTCCGTTTGTGTTTTGGAAGTACGGCGGTCGCATTCGCGCCCGGAGCAAGACGATTCGGCAGCTTCGCGAGGAGCAGGAGAAGCACGATGCCAAGAGAGCCGGCGATCTGGCTAGGAAAGAGAGGAGAGCTGCGAGGAGTTCTTGTGTTGTGGCGGATGGGGCGGTCGACGCGAGGGACGCGCGGCCCAAGGAAGAGGCGGGAAGCGTTGGTGGAGAAAAGAAGACGGGAGCGTGTTAAAGGTCAGACGATGGTTGACCAACAAATGATAGCGGTTTTGTTTTTTTATTGGATACCAGCCGGCAGTTTGTTGACAGTACAGGACCGCGACGGAAAACACGATGAGCGCAAGTAGCTCGACGTGATGTGCGCATGTTTAAGCTTTGATTTTTTTTTATTTTTTTTTATTTTTTTATTTTTTTTTTAATGTGAATCGTTAGCCTGCAAGAAACAGACACGGACAGAGTAAGCACCCATGTACCATTAGTATATGGGCAAAAGCCCAGAGTGAACATGTACATGTGTATTGTATTCAAGGAAAAGTGCATCACGACCTGCAGCTTTACGAAAACGGAGACACAAAGGTAATGAGAATTCAACATGCACACTTACACAATGCGTTTGTCATGCGTCATGCATGTCGCAGGAAAAAAAAATCAAGTTGTCGACATGCGGGAAAATTCATGAGTGGATCAAAAAAACTGAGTCAATCGTACTTATAGGAAAAGCCCGATGCGGGGGTCGAACCCGCAACCTTGAGATTTCGTGCACTCGTAAGAGTCTCACGCTCTACCGATTGAGCTAACCGGGCACCGAATCCTCGATGCGATGTTGAAGACTCGGTGATTATTCCAAATTATAAACTTTTGATTATCTGGCGTCTCTCGGCCCAACACGGGAAGATCGATTCCCATCTAGGCAGCGCACTGCGCCTCGATTTCTATGGCATGTACGATGTGCGGCGCATTCAAGAAGAAGTTGTCTTGAAGCTTGTCATGGACGAAACTTGGACCGCAGGTGTGATACCATCTTGGCCATGAGCATGGTCCTGGACATGGCTAACCGGCAGACTTTGGCGGCGTTAAACGACGAAAAGAAGAGGAAAGAGAGAGGTATAGGTGGGAAAAAGGAAAGGGATATAGAGATAGCGAGCTAGTGAAAGAATTCAAACACAATTTCTACCAAGACTGAGATATAAAAGGCTATTCTTGCAATCTCCATTCAAATGGAAACTCGGAGTGCAAGTACTAAGTTTCACACGCGTCCCAGGACCAAAGAGCTACCAATATGCGTCATGGCTACAAGCACTAAAAAGGAGCGCGGAAAGCAACAAGAAATACAAATGATATACATATCCCTAGGGCATGAATGGGCATGAGTCACCCCCGGTCTCGCCATCAACCTGGCCTGATGCCCCTAGGAATGAAAACGCAGCTAGGCAGGCAAACTAGGTCAGTATGCATGTATGACATCATGTTTGTCTTCATACTGTGCTCCCCCATGCTGTTCACAGCCAAAAGAAAGACCAGTGACTCAATGTATCGCGATTGAACTTTTATACTTTCTAGCCAAGCTACTGATTAGATGCAAGCCGTGTATTCATCTGTCATCTTCCCTCTCTGAGCCCATCCTCCTAGACAATCAGACGGTTTTTTTTTTTTTTTTGCAGGAGTCTTTATGTTTCAAGGGGTAAAGAAAGAAAGCAAGATACACGTAGGAAAAACAACCTTTTATTTATATCTTCTTTTATAGAACTAGTCAAGAACCCTTTTACTTATATTCGTTCACTATACCTAGAATTGGAACCTTGTATTTATATGTTTCTTTTTATAATACTAGTCAAGAGCCCTCTTATTTATATCTTCTTTCCATAGAACCTACTAAAGAACCCTTTTATTCATATCTCTTTCTTCGTGCCTCGTAAAGAATCCTTTCATTCATGCATTCTTTCTAGAACCTACTAACGAACCCTTCTATCCATGGTATTCTTTCTCCGCACCTTCAAACTTCCTCCGTTTCTTCTATCGAGACGCCCTCTTTGACCCTCTCTTTTCCTCCGCTCCTTATCCCGACTTGATTGACCTTTAGCGTATTGAACCAGCACCAAAGAGAGCCTCAAGTCACCCAGTCAGCAGCAAACAGTCAAATTCATACGCTTTAATGCTTTATTCCAAAAGAAGTCCTAACGACGACAGCACAGCACGTGCAGGCGCACGTATCCAGAGCGGACGACGAAGACGTCCGTCCATGCATGGGCTTTCCCGTCTACAACTTTTAAACTTTGGCTTCTTCGTAGTCGCCACTAACTATTTGACACCCTCATCATCTGATAGTCTTCTTCCCGCATATTCATCAAATTCTAAAGTGTTGGCTTGTCGAGGCAATTTATCCTCTTCTCTCTTTTTTTTGATCATTTTCTTTCGTTCTTTTTTTTTCCCTCTTCCATGGTTTATTCATCTCGCACGTATACAAATGATGTTGCCAAGACAAAATCTAGCATTCCCTTTCCAATACCTCGAGCTCCTTCAACACAGAATTCTTAGTGTGAATCTTCTTGACCTGCGTATCCTCGAGCTTTTCACCCCCGGCGAGCCGCATCTCCAATTCCTCAATGGCGCGTATCTTTTTCTGAAGGCTGCGGACCTTTTTCGCGTTGGCACTCTGGGCAGCATTCGGCGCATCAGCAGGAGCAACGGCTGCACCGCTCGACTGCTGAGCAGCAACACTATTCTGATTTGCATTATTATGGTTAGACCGTTGGCCGTGATGAGTGTTGCTGCGGCTGCGGCTGGCCGTATTGTTTCGTGATCTGCTCCGTTGATCACGACCATTGCCGTTAGCAGGGCCTCGTCTTTCAGGGCTACGTCCAGTGTTGCCGGCGCCGTTGCCGTTATCATACGGAGAAAGGCTGGCACCGCCGTTGGGCTCCGCCTCGAGACGAGCATCTTGGCTCCTGCTGTTGTTGTTGTTGTTATTGTTGTTCTTCTTGCCTCGCTTCTTCTTGTTCTTCTTATTGCCATCATCTCCGACCCCTTCGGCCCCCGGTACGCTTCTAGATCCGGCAGACGGCTCGGCCAGCTCGGCACCGGGCACTCCGCGGCGAGTACGGCCGAAGCCATTGGGTCCGACATTCTGTGTACCGTTACTCACAACATGAGCAGCACCACCCTCGTCCTCGCGCTTGAAGTGAAGGGGCGTAGCAAGACCTCGCGCTCCGGGTGGGCGATAAGCTCCAGCAGGCTTGCTGGGTGTCTTCACCGTGCCCAGATAGGTGGTGGCCGAAGCATGAGGCGTCGGCACGGGGTTGAGCGGATCTCCCTTGGCCACATTTTCAGGGGCCGCAGGGCGCCACACGACGTTGTACAACTCCACCATGTCTTCATTGTACATGATGGTCCCACCGACGTGCCAGAGCTTCACCCCATTGTCGACTCGGAGACGAGGGGACGTCGTAGCCGTCAAGATGTATCGACTGTCAGGGCTCCACTCGCACACACTGGGATTGCCACTTTCAATCGTGCAAACCTTGCGATAGTCTTTTTCGAGGTCAAACACGTCAATCTGGCCAGCCAAGTTGCCAAAGCCAGCGACGAGAACGAAGCGGGCGCTGGGCGCGAAGGTAATCGTATTGCGTGGCCCAAGAGGGAACGAGTGCTTGGCAACGGCCCGATCATTGAAGATGGTGGCCTTGGCCGGCATGTAGCCGTAAACAACTCCAAACTCTCGCGAATTGGGTGACCACGACACGTCGTGAATGGGACCCTCCTTGTCAAGAGTTACGCGCGCATCAAACGCTCCATTGGTACTGAGGAGATACAATGTAGTCTCTCCGTAGTAACTCTTGCCAGATTTGTCGACATCCGTCTGTGCAAGCACAAGGAGCGAAGACCCGCGCTTGTTCCATTTAAACTGGACCTTGTCGCCCTTGAAAAAAGTCTTTTGCGAGATGGGATTCTGGAATAAGGGGACGTTGAAGACCTTGACAACTGCAGGTTGACCCTATATAAATGGAGAAAAATTCACAGTCAGTAAGCAGTAGATTTCGGTTTCGTCCAAACTGGTCAAGTCATAGAGAAAAATGAAGAAAAAAAAAAGAAAAAAAAAGAAGGGGTGTGGGGGGTGAGGAATGGGCAAGAGAGTTGGGGCAATCACATGACGAAATAAAACGAAAGAAAAAAAGAAACAAGGGAGAATAATGCAGAAGCATCACGGGAATGGTTTGGTGGCTGGCTCACCTTTCTCTCTGGAACAAATACAGCCACAGCATGATTCTGACTTCCAGGTGCCAGGGCAAAGCTGGTCGCGCCCTCCACTCTCAACTTATTCCAGACGGTAACAAGGTCATGGCTCTCATAGAATTGTACCTCATTCGTGACCAGTCGTGCGCAGTACTTCTCGTCGGCGGTGTACTGCAGGTTCCAACCGCCCTGTTGCTTTTGCACAAATCGGCCGATAGGCTGCTTGTCGCCGCCAGCAACACCCTCTTCCACGGTGCGCCAAACCTTGAGGTTCTTGGTGGCATCGCCGGCCTCATCCTTTCCCGGCCGTTCCCATGTGATGATGAAAGTGCCAAGCGGTGAGAAGCCGACTTCGTAGACATTGACTAGGGGTAGCACCAGCACAACATTGCCAGCAGAAGCATCGACAACGGTGACCGATTCGGGGTTGGCCCAGCCAAAGAAGCGGCCGCAGGGCGAGTAAGCGCTGCATCGCAAGTTACCCTCGGGTTTTATGAAACCAGCGAGGGGCTGGTAGACCGGAGCGGCGTCAAAAACGCCAATGGTCTTCTGGGTTCGATACGCAAACTGCAAAGGAGACGCCATGGCTAGTCAAAGTCACAGGGTCTTGGGGTCGTTGTCTTGTGCAGTCAGCCCAGGATGCTTGAAACAAGTGTTCTATCGGTGTATTCTCGTGTGACAAAGCGGGGATCCTTGCTGTGCCCTGTTTTTCCGTTTTTATTTTTTTGTTCTTTCCTTTTCCTTTCTTTGTTCTTTCTTTCTTGGTCTGCCGCGTTGCTGTAAATGTGGCGATGAGGAGAAATTGTATTTTTTTATAGAAAAAAAAAATAAAGAAAACCTGTAGCTTTTTTTCAAGTGACTCTCAAAACAAACTGACAAAAAAGGAACAATGAGTCAGCGAGATATCACTGGCTTCTTCTTTGTCGCTTTCTTGTTCCGGTTTGTATGGTTGAAGCGTCGGGCGCGACGTCGACAGCAATCAGAACCAACAATGGGGAGGATCAATATCGGAGGGCAGCGACACAGACGTCTCAAGCACCAATTGCAGCAGATTCTTGCTCTGAAGTCTCCTCGCAGTTCCTGACGAAAGCGGGACAGCAATGAGCAAGTCGAGAGGCGATGGTGTCTGAACAAACGACGACCTGTTGGGGGAAATTGGCGGCCGTGTCGATCACCAGACAGGCACAAGTTCAACACGTCGAAAAGGAAGAGAAAGAAGATGGACAGAAGCACAGGGCGATGAGAGTACAAGAGGAAGTGACAAGCACCCAGGAGGGCGGGAATTGGCGACGTCGGCGGCGATGCCGTTGTGCTGTCGGGCTGGGGATGGGGGGGGGAGGAAGAAGAAGGGGAAGCAAAGCCAACAGGTGGACAAAGTGCGGGCAGATGCTTTTCGTGTCGAGGTCCCCAGTCGTGGTTTTTTTCGCTGCCCCAAGTGCCGTCTGCGTCTGCGTCTGCGTCTGGTCCATGTCTTGTCCGCCGGCTGTGGACGGTGACCCGGCGGGGGGCGGGCCCCTGTCAGGCTGTCAGATTGGGCTGCCGCGGGCTGGTCTGGTGCGCTGGTGCGCCCTGC